GCAGTGTTTGTCCTAGACTACATTTAAGAAGTTGTCAGACCAAGGCCTTTGTGCCTAGGAATAGAAACGGGGTCAGAAATCACTCCAGAGTCCGTCCTGATGTTTGCTTTCTTTCTCATCAGAAAGAGTGAGAAGATGGAGACTGCTTTTAAGAAAGTTTTCTTCTGTCTCCAACCCTATGTAGAAATTCAGTTTTATATAAAAAACCAAGAATTTAGCCATCATAGCAATGTGTGTGGTGGATTAACTAATGGTCATCTTGGAGCACCCAACTGAACTGAGTCAGCCTGGTTCTGGGTGTGGAAGGCCCATCTGAGGATTGTAGCCAACAGCATGAAAGGAGAACTGGAGTGGAGAATGATGTGCTGATGATTCTCCTGGAGAAGCTTTTCACGTTGGCTTTCCTGATATGAACTCAGCTGTTGTCATCTTCGCTGTCACTGAGGATAGCTGTGGTTCTCTTTGGGGGAGCTCTTGTCTTTACTCTGTCATTTCTTGACTCCAGTGCAGATCCCTTAGCCGACTGGCACAGATCCTTCATCCTGCTGGTGAAGACTTTCCAGCTTCCACCACTGACCTTTGGGCCTTCCCAGTGCAGATCCTTCATACAGACTTGGTTTTGTTTTTTTTCCCCATGTACTGGGAATCAAACTCACGACCTCATGTTTGCCAGGCAGGCGCTGTGCCACTGAGCTAAATACCCAGCCCCCCTTGATACAGACTTGCATGAGACATTACCACAAGCTCTAGGCCTCCAGCGTGACTCATGAAGGATCCAGGCCCTCAGTTGGATTCTTTGGATCTCTAGTGCATAGACAGATCTCTTGCACTTTTCTGCATTTGGTTTTTTGGGTGAATATTATAAAATAATGCTATAAATTACATGTCCTGTATTGAATCTGTTCCCTCACAAACCCTGACTACAATGTGCATATCAGGATTGCAGGAAAAAGAAAGTGCTTTGGAAACTGTTATGTGAGAAGAGTGATGTTTAAGGCAGAGAAAACGTGTGGGAACATGGTTGCTGTCTTCTACTATTATCTTGTCAGTTTGGCAGCAAATGTGTTCTGTTGCTTCTATAAGGTAAAATTACATCCCATGAATGGGTGGAAGTAGAAGGATGATTTTGGCTCAGATCAAGGGAAAGAGTATGTGTCTACCATGTTTAGACCTCCATGGTAGATATCTCATTTTGTATCATTACATCCCTGCACATTAAAGGTTATTGCATTGGTCTGCTTTCCATTACTGGGACAAAGTGCCTGACATACAAAACTGAAAAGAGGGGAAAGTTATTTTGGCTCACGGTTTCAGAGGTTCCAGGTAATGGTTGGCTGGTGCCCAGGGTGCAGTGTTATGGCAGAAGGGTGTAGTGGGAGAAAGCTGTGCACTTCCTGGCCGCCATGAAGCAAAGAGCAAAGGAAAGAGCTGAGGAAAGATCCAACCATGAAAAGCATCCCCCAGCGACCTGCTTCCTCCAAGCAGGGCTGTGCTCCTCACTTGTCACATGGGGGTCCAGCCATACATGATCATTCTTCAAGGACACTTCCTATTTAAACTGTAACAGTTATACCTATTTCACACATACAGAATCCAAATTGCAAAGGCTAGCCCGCCCCAGGTTGCTTTGCTTGTAGGGGCAGAGACAGACTGAGCCCAAGTCTCAGGAGACAAGAGGTAAGTGTTTTGCCTAAGCCTCTCTGCCTCTTGGATTTGCAGAGCTGAGCTGTTCCCTCAGCCCAGAGCATGCCGTGCACCAGTAGCCCTTCTTTCAGGGGAGATGTTCAGGAGGAACACGTAACCCTGGTAATTTCTGCACTGGGCAAAAGTTACACCTGGCAACCTTTAATACACCTTCCAAATGCTGGACTCCATGCTTCCCATTCAAGCAAAGGAGGAAACAAACCAACTGCACCTTAAGAGCTCCATGTTGTCTTCATATTTCTTTTCCATCCCTGCACCAACCAAGAACTCTGCTCTCTGTGGAGCAGCTCATAGCTCATCCTACCACAAAGATTCTAGTATCTCCTTTTTGTTTATGGGATAAATAATAAAATAAAATTTTAAAAATAAAATAAAATGGCATGTATAAGTGAGTCAAAGATAAACCATCAAGACACACTTCTCTTTCCACAATCTGCTTTTGCATTACTCAGAGACCACGTTAGCCCCTGTGCAGAGCCTCCTGGGAAGCTGTTCTGTTGTTCCTGTGTGCTGCCTTCTGCAGCTGGGCCTGCTCTCCTGCTGACGTGTGCTCCTCCCTGACAGGTCTATCTGGATCCTTCTAGTCTTTGCAAGGTCTCCTCAGGGACCCAGTGGAGGTGTTTTCTGCCCTTTGAAGCTAAGGAAGGTGGGAACACCTCCCACCCGCTCCTGGAACACACCACACCCTGTGCCGTGTAGACTGGTGTGTTCTCCTTCTCCTCACTGAATAATGGGCGTCCTAAGAGAACCATTCAGATCAGATTCACTCCTGTCTGTCCCCCTCGGATCCTGGGAGAACCTAGTGGATTGTTGGGCTCACCAAGATCTGTGCAGTTGGTAGTAGAATTGAGTCATCAAGTTGACTCCCAGAGCAAACCTATTTAGCAGGGAGTGATGGTTGGAGAATTTAAGGCTTACTGCAGTTTCCTTGGGAGGAAGAATGTGCTTTTCCTGTTAATTCTTACTTTAGTTTCTTAGTTTTTTTTTTTTTTTTTTAAAGTAAAAGCACTGTAAAAAAAAAAGAGAGAAAAAGCAGACATCTATTATCTTCATCAATTTGTGCACTCTCTTCTCTGGAGGAATTTGATTCATCTTTCATTTTTAACATGCCTATAATTATTTCCTTTTAGAGAATATCCATTTTGAGAAGAAAGTTCAGTCTCAGAGAGGTTAATAAACTCACCCAAGTAAATTGCAGGGCTGCCTAGACCCAAAGATTTTGCTTCTTGTGTTGTACTTTGCCTCTGGACCCTGCCAACAGCTCGGAAAATGAGTCAACACAGGAAGTCAAGTGGAATCTGGAGGAGCTACAACCGTGGCTTACACTTGTGGGGGGACATCTGGCCATAGGCTGGAAAAACCCGAAGCAGTAATTCCACTGCTCCTCGAAGTTAGCTGATTTCACCACTTAACAGTTTACCCTGAGCGCCATTCAGGCAGCATATTTGTTTATGTACTGACTTTTCTGAGTGTCTCTCGGGCAGGTGCTAATTCAACCAGTTGATTCTTGTTTGGATGAGATATACACTTATACCTGTTCATTTGTTTTATATCTCCTATTTTGGCATACTTTTAAATTTAAAACCTTGTATTTGCCTCTGATGTTTGTTTCTAGTGAAATCTAATAATACATTTTGGTTATTTCCTTTAATTAATTTGCATTTATTTTATTTACGAAAGAAAAACCCTATAATTTTGTGTTACAACCTATAAAAGTTCTTATCATAAGTACATTAGGTATAAGTTTTGTATTTCTCCAGAACTCAGTTCTATTCTTTTACAGTATGAAGTGGACATGTCTGGGACCCTGAGACTGAATAGGATGGAAGTGCCAGAAGATCTTCAGGAGAAGGACCTGAAGGGGAGAAATGTTAGCATATCAGGGAGGAAATGTCTGTATTATGAGATGGAAAGACAAAAAAGGCATCTCCTTACTGTCAGCTATTCATAGTACAGAAATGATAGGACTTGAAAGAAGAAATGAAACTAAAAAATTCCCAGGGTGGAAATGATGATAATACTTCCATGGGTGGTGTGTACAGAGGTGACCAACATCTTATCAGTGATCCTGTAATCAAAAAAGTGAGGAAAAACATATTATTATAAAATATTTATGCAACTTGTGGACTCAAAAATATGGGGTTCAATTATTATTTATTCAAAATAGGGGGGATTCATGCCGGGGATATAACACAGTGGCACAAATGCCTGCCTGGCAAGTGCAAGGTCCTGAGTTAGATTCTCAGCACCAAAAAAAAAGAGCCCAAAATAGGGGGGTTCAAAAATTAAAGGGATTCATTTACACCTTAGAGTAGGTCTCACAAATCAAATAATTGAAAAGTAGTGAAATGCCAACCAGGACATCCACCATCGATGTCTTCACCATTACTTTTAGTGGGCAGACATTTTATTGAAATCACACCATCTACAGAAAAAAAGAAAGGCCAGCATGACAGTGCAAAGTGTGTTCAAAGAAAAACAAGGATGCAAAAATAATTCAGAAAGAGAAAAATACCACCGTCCAGGTTGTAGCACTGTGTTATACATTGAGTGCTTTAAGATATACCATACACAGAAAAATCATTGAATACATTTGATAAAACTGTCATTTTTATATTTCCTGTTAGATTATCTTTTACAAATTAATGAAAAAAAATGCATCTTTTAAATTATCCTGTATGTAAGTAATTGCACTGGTATGTGGTTAAAAGAGTTTGGGAAGAATTTGACACTAAGAAATCCCTCCTACTTTGTTTCTGAAATAAATTCTGACAATTCAGGCCATCCCAGGTCTTGATGTTTAGTAATGAGCAGATTTTTGCAAAAAGTGTGCTAGAGGAGAATACATGAGTCCTACAGCTAAGGCTGTGCTTTTCAAAATCCCTTCCCCGTAGGCCAGGGCCTAGCCAGGCCTACTACTAGCTCGTGAGACCTAGAGAATGGGGCCTGAGCTCAAGCAGGCATTTGAAGCAGCATTTTTCTGGAAAATCCATTTCAGCTCTACTTATGACTTTGAATCATACTGGAGTCTTAAAAATTATCTTGAACTTCTTGGCCCTATGAAATATATATTTAAAAAGTCTTGATTTCCTCCCCACTGTATTGCTGAAATATTAGGTGAGGGTTTAGGAGTGATGTTTCACCTCATTGGAGAAGGAGTGGGTTGTGAACAAGTAGTGAGTAAAAATATACCTTAACTGACTGGTTAAACACTCATGAACTCACATTTTCATTATCTTTTAAGGCTTTTCTTCAGTTTTATCTCATCCTCCCTTTTTCTGTCCTTTACTCCTCAGAATGCAGACTTTGTTCCGATGCACCTCTCCTCGAAGCAGAACTTTCAGCTTGCTGTGCCTACCTCCGCTTCCTGTCTGCAGTGGCTTCACCATCTCTGCAGAAGAGCAGGGAGAAGCCTTGTATGGGGAGCTCTGCTACACTCCGCACCTTTCCCCTCTGCCAGCACAGACAGTTCATCTTTGCTGAGTACTGACTTACGACTTAAACAGGTCAAGCCAGAGTTACCTGGAGCTTCCCAATATGCCTCTGCCTTGCCCTTCTGCATCTTAGGATTGCCTCATCCTCTAAGAAAACAGGCCAGGGAACTCAGAATTTCCATGATTGACATCAACAATAAATATATACTAAATGATTCTGACCGAGAATGTTCCAGAGGGAGAGAAACCAGCATCCCTTCTCAATAGCACCAAGACCCAGTCTGTGTATCATTGCATGAGTAGACACCAAGCATTTCTGCATGCCTGTCTGTGTGCTGCAGTGGACAGGCATGAACAAGTCTGTCAGGGTCTCCATCAGTCATCATAATGCTTATAATCTATTGAGGGAAACTTAGGTAAGTAGTTACACGTATGTTTATCAAATGACGATGCTGTTAGGTATTATTGCAATGGTTGCCTGGGCAAGTATTTTTATATTGACATTGGAAATTAAGGAAAATGACAGAGAGATTGGCTTGACTTTATAGTTGTACTTACCCCAAGCTCTCACTAATTCCCAGAAGACAAAGTTGCAACCTTCCTTCCTGGTTGTAGGATCATCACAAAGAAGGAAATTAAGGTCATGAAGTGGAGGTAAAGTGGGGCTTGGGATTCAAACAAGGAAAGAACCAGGAAAGCAGTAGAGAAGGATCATCTATGACTAAGTTAATGTCTCTGAGTGATTGATTGGCTTAACTTCTGGGGACTGGAGAAACTTGGAGGCTGGAGTTTGCTTGATGTCTAGACTGCTTGGGTTCACACATGAGACTTGAGAAAATCTTTGAAAGTTGGTGCAGGGGGCAGAGTAAAAGGGATGCTCTTGATTAAAGAGCTGCTATCTAACTTGGGTAGATGGCCACATGGCCTCTCTATGAGGCTCAGAACTTTCAGGTGGACATCTAATGAGGGACGGAAAAGGATCTTTCCAGGTCATCAAAACAGGTAACTGAAAATCTCAGGGATGATGGAGGTAGAAGTCTTCTTTCCTGGCTAATTCATTGAATATTAGTAGTAAAAAGGTCCTAGAGATGATTCAAGATACTGCTTCTCATCCCTGGACCAAGCATTATCTGGGAACTTATAAAAATTAAGATATTCAGTATATAGATTTGGTGAGACAGAATTAAGACAATCTAAAGAGATGGGGATGAAGAATCTATATTTTTAGTTGTGTCGGCTGAATGCCAGGTGAAGGGAGTCCATGAGTGAGCCCCTTGTGGTGAATGCCATCAATCTGTGCATTATTTTAAATATAGTAATCATTTCTGGAATATTTCTCAGAAATTCATGGTTTCAATATTTTAATTTATGTAAATTTATGATTCCTGGAACCAGGTCAGAACACTTTGAAGCCTGTGCCTCTTTGGGAAGTTAAATGTCTACTCAGAATCTTGGAATGGGTATTCAGAGCAGACCCTTATTCCTCTGAGCAGTGTGTACACATGTGTGTGTGCATTTGCGTGTGTACACAACCATGCTCACACTGGTGCTTTCAGCAGTTGTTTCCTACGAGTGGATGGTTTGAGCCATGAGTCTCGTGTGTCATATTCTATGGACCGATGTGGGATCTCTGTTACATTTTGATTGCACAGATGTGAGACAGAGCACCATATATGATGAAGAGCTTTGTTCCTTGTCATGAACTGTATATCTAAGAGAACATTATTTGAAACCATGGCTTTTATGGAGTTATTAGAGACAGGCTTTCATTGATTTCATCAACAAATATTTAGTTAGCACCTACTACATGCCAGACATTTTACTATGTTCATTCTAGAGATTCAGAGATTACTAAGACCTGATTAATAACCACAGAGGCCTTATATTTTAGTTGGAACAACAGTCAAGTGCAGAGATTGCTGCTCCAATACAATGTGATAACGAATTTGTATTTCATTCTCTTGCTGCCCGCAGTGTCTGGCACTTACCAGGTGCTCAAATGTGGTGGGTCCCCTGAAGGTACACTGTGCTAGCACCAAAAGATCTAGCAATCTTTCCAGTCTCCTATTCCCCATGGGCCTTTTGGCTATTGGTTTAGTGTCCATTGCTCCTTGAGGTAGGACTCCTATATTTTGATGCAGTCATACATGTACTGTTTCCGTGGATCTATGATCAGGGTGACCAGCTTATCAAAACTGAGCTTCTACAACAAAGGAGTAACAATTCTGAACTGATACACTCTTTTTTTTCTTCAAAATTGGTATGTGTTTTCTTTTATGAAACACCAAAAATAATATGAAAGTTTTGAAAAGTCATTCAGTTTTTTGCATTTATTATATTTCTGTGCACAAGGAATATACTCAGTGTTTTCCATAAATGATCTTAATTTTTAAAAAATTATGTGATATTTTTATTATCTCCACTTTACAAAAGGAAAAGTTGAAGTGTAGACAGCTGAACTAACTTACCAAGTACAGGACTATAAAATAATGGTCAGACTCAAATTCAAATTTATCTAATTCCGAAGGTCACAGTTTTAAAAAATCTGTTTCTCTATCTCCTTCTCTGTCTCTCTGCCCATATCTATCTATCTATCTATCTATCTATCTATCTATCTATCTACCTATCTATCTATCATGTATCTATCTATCAATCACCTATCTATCATCTGTCATCTATCTATCTATCTATCTATCTATCTATCTATCTATCTATCTATCATCTATCATCTATCCATCCATCATTTATCTATGTGGCTTCAAGATAAATGTTTATGTATATATGTATGGAACATTTAAGTAATATTTGATTTTTAAATATATGTTATATTCTCTTTGTAAAGATTTTGGTTTGTCCTCAGACATATAACAAGTATTTCTTGAGGTTGTGCTTGATATCGTGGTGAACAATGGAGATGCAATATTGAAGGTCCATACCTAGTCTAATCCAACAAGGCAGTTTCAAAAATCAAATTAAATAATTGCAATTCTGTGATTGCTGCAAAAGATGTCTCACTTCTCTTAATACTGGGAGATGCTGGAGAACAATGTGAGATGCTAACTCCTACAGCAGTATTTACAGAGATCTTGGATCTGGGACATAGATAAAAGTCATGTATAAGGGACACAAAATAACACCACAGCCACCACCTCCTCCCATTTCTCCTAGAGCACACGGTCAATGTGAAGTGAGTAAGTCACACGAACTGGAAAATAAAGCATGAGATTTAGACAGAGAGAAAAATGAGTTTGTCTCTGAGGGCAAAGCTTCTATTGTTTCCTGGGATCAATGACATTGATTCTGCTCCATGGCACATAAAAACAGTGGCTTTGAGATGCAGATGTTGACTAGCAGCAAAAGGCTGAGGATGGCAACTGTGGTAATGAGAGAAAGATGCTGGAGGTTTGTGTATTGATAGGAAGACTTTGATTTATCTCTGTCCATCCACCCTCAGAGTTTGGAGCAATTGTTCACATAGCTCTTTAAACAGGAAGTCTAGTAAAGATGCAAAAACTATATTTGGGGCTTCAGGACCAATTATTGGTGTCTGGATTGAGAGGGGGGAAAGGGACTAGATGTAACGACCAGAGACCTATGTCCCCCACTTAGTGGGCCTTACCCTTGAACTTGTATCAATTAACTGTTTCCATGATTTCCCTATACAATAGCCGCAAGTGGATGGGAGCTACTTAGTTCAAGTGTCTTCTGAACACTGGGTGGAGCTGCATGATGTACACTGTGCTCAGCTGGCAGGGCCTCTGGTCTTAGTCTGAGTGGGGAAAGCTCACGCACCTATGCTTGCCACATGATCACGTACACTTGTTGGACCCAGATAAAGTCCACAAGTCTTTCATTTTTCTCCTGTCCTAGTGACCTGTTTCATAACAATATTAAAAGTGGCCAAGTGAGTTCCAAGCTTTGCTCACTCTACCTGCTGATACCCCTCTGTAGTGTGCAGAAGCAGGGTAGGGGGTGAGCTAGAGTTGTGTGCCCTACCCTAGGTTTCTTACTAGATATAAGAAAGAGAAAAGAACCTAGCTATACTAATATAGTAACATTTGTATGAATAGGCATGTCGTAAATTCTTATATTGTGTAAGGATATATTGAGATATATAGATAGATGACAGATATAGATACAGATAGAGATACATAGATAGATATTTGTTTTGTTTTGTTTGCTTTTTGAGATAGGGTCTTGCTATGTAGTTCAGACTGAACTTAAACTCACTACGTAGCCCAGGCTGCCCTCGAATTTGAGGTGTTCCTCCTGCCTCAACCTCCTGAATGCTGGGATTATAGATATGCACCATTATACCTGGCTATATAAATAAAAAGTATATCAATTTTTCCATGATTCATTTCTGAATTATGATCTCCCTGGGATGTAGTTGACCTTCTGGGTCTTATTGTAAGGAAAATTTGGATCCAAAAAAATGTTTTCTTTTTTGTTGTTTTTTTCCAGTACCAACAATAAGTTTTTTGAAGATTATTTTGGTGTAATCAAATATGTACAAATGTGAGCATGTGCATACATGAAGTCATCTTGGAAAATCAGGTTAATTAAAATTTTTTCTCAATAAAGCTCTAATTCTTGCCTCCATGTTTTTAACAGTATTATTGAGATAAAATTTACATATCATACAACTTACTCTCTTAAAGTGTATAATCCCATGGCTTTTAATATACTCAGAGTTTAGCAATCATCACTACAATAAAATCTAGAACACTTTCATTAGCTAGAAAGGAAGCTCTGTACTCTTCAGCTACAGCTCTGAAGCCCCCCCTTTGATGCAAAGTTTCTGATAACTTTCAAAAGATATTTCTATTTCTATGCTTCACCAGAGTATTAGAGATAAGTGCGTTATAGCACTTACTACATTCAGGGCTGTTATTTGGTTCCTTTTTTGTCTCTTCTGTGCATTTGTAACATCCTGGAAGATAAAACATTGTGTTTTATTGAATTTTATGTGTTTACTGTCTGCCCAATGCCTGTCACATGTTGAGGTTCAGAGAGAGGAGGAAGAAAAGGAAGAGAAAAGAAGGAAGGAAAGAAGGAAGGCAGGCAGGAAGGCAGGAAGGAAGGGAAGGAGTGAGGAAGGGAGGAGGGAGGAAGGAAAGAAGGGAAGAGAGAGGAGGGAAAGAGGAAGAAAGAAAAAGAAAGAAAGAAAGAAAGAAAGAAAGAAAGAAAGAAAGAAAGAAAGAAAGATAAAAGTAGAAAAGGAAAAAAAGAAAGGAGGGGGGAAAGGCAAGACGAGGAAGAATAAATTTGGGTTTAGACTGCAGCAATGACCCAAAGCAAATATCTTTACAAATTACTTTGGTAAATATTCATCAGACAAATATAGTGCTTTTCAAGGAAAAAAATCTTATGTTTCAAACAGATTTTGTCTTTTTCTTAAATTAGCAGTATTCTG